ATTAAATCAGTACTATTTCTATTCTTCAAGGACACCTTGCACATTATCTCAACAACAGTTTATTTTAAATATACTTCTTTGTACAATTAATTGTAAGATGGCTGAAAACATATATTACACACTTTCTGTATTATTATGATCAAAGATAATAACATGTTGGTTTTTACAAAGCATCATCTATAAAACTTTACTGTCGTTAGAATTGATTTACCTTTTACTGTTATAAAACAGTCTTCTTAGTATTATAACACTTGTTTAATTACTTTAATTATACTTTTGGATTTTATTTTCTTCCAGTTGTAGTTGTTGTTGTTGTTGACTGCCTTTGAGTTGAGCACGACTCATAACAACCCTATGAACAAAAGGCCCGAAACCCCTCTACAATTACCAACATTTATCAAAATTCATACGGCTTCGGGAGGCATGTTATTGAGGAAGTGAATGCCACTCTTGCTTCCAATAGATATTAAAATTCATCTTATTGTTGTTAAATATATTTATATAAGAAGCCACATGACTTTGGAAAAATACATGAATTTAAGGCCTTAAATATCAAGATAGAAGGAGAATTGATGCTTTTGATCCATGGTGCTGGAGAAGAGTATTGAATGTACCATGGACTGCTAGGAGAACAAACAAGTTTGTCCGACAGAGTGCTAAAGCCAGGCTGATCCTTGGAGGCCAAGATTCTGAAGCTTCATCTGACATACTTTAGACATGTTGCAAAGTGGGATCAGTCCTTGGAAGGGGACATCATGCTTGGGTGGGTGGAGGGACAGCACAGGAGAGAAAGACTCTTAGGAGATGGATTGATTCAGTGACTGGGGTAATGGAGGTAGGTGTGTCAGACACAGTGAAATTGGCACAGTATAGTGCAGGGTTTAGGGCTGTTGTACACAGAGTAGCTATGAGTCACAGGTGACTTGACGGCACATAACAACAACAACAAACCTTAAACTGAGACAGCAACAGGTACCGAAATTAGGATAAGGAATTCCTATTTAATCTTCAAAATATCTCACTAGTATTGCAGCTATTATCCCCATTTAATCTACTACAGGATGGTATTGGATAAAGTAAATTAAAATTCAATGTCACTGGAAAAGAATACAGGGATTTATATTTACGCTCTCTCAACTACCATGATTCTAATTAAATGTCACTAAATTTCCATTTCCAAATATTAATAAGTAGACAGTATTAACCAAATTAAAAATAGTAACTGTGCAAAAAGTGTGGATTTCTATTGAGATGATAAGAAAGAAATGACCAAAATAAAATTATTTTTGCTTTTTTCACTGGGAAAAGAAAAGAAAACAAAACAAACTTTCATACTAATATGGGCATCATCATTTTCTGGAAAATGTTTTTAGAAATTCTAAGGTAAATTTACCCTGTGGTAAAGATTGCACTGCCAATCAAAAGGCACATGTGACTCGATTCCACCAGTTGCTTCACAGAAGAAAGCTGAGCAATCTCGTTCTGTGTAATTCTTCTGAAAACCTGTTGGAGGATTCTGACTTGACAGTGTACAGTAATAGGGTAAATGTAGCCAAACTGATGTTTAGAAGTGAAGATGTTGAAATATTTCACATACTTTAGACGTTATCAAGAAGGACAAGTTCCTAGAAAAGGACACCATGCTTTGTAAGTTAGAAGGCTAATGAAAAAGATAAAGTCACTCAATGAGATAGACTGACACAGTGAGTACAAGAATGGATTTGAGCACAGTGAAGATAGTTAAGATGGAGCAGAATCAAACAAGGTTTTGATCTGTTGTCCAAAGCTATGAGCCAAATTTGGTGTGATGACACTTAACAACAACAACAACAAAATAGTATTTTGTACAAATCCCAGGTGAATAATTTCAGCAGAAATTATTAACTGTGAACTAGCCAAACATTTGTGGATCAAAATAAGAACAAAAGGAGACATTCTGTGCAAGGGTTTGTTAATTAGTAGACTCCCACTCTTACCAGTTATATGAATTCAGATCCTTTTACATGAACCAGCTATCTTTATTTATGAACAGCATTGGGAAAAGAGTCTAATAAATTTCTTTGTTCCTACAAAGGAAGTCTTAAAAATTGTATTACAAGAGATAATGACAAAAAGAATGTAAAAATTCTTGACTGTTTATTTTGACGCAGAGGCAATAAAAAACAGTGTATTTTCTATCTCTTCAAAACTCAGATTTGTGAAACTTTGTTTTATATCTTAAGAATAGAATCTTTCTTTACATCTAGCTTCAGAAGATTTTATAAATAATAATTGAACATATAGGTAACTTTGACAAATAGTACTATTTATGTCATTAATAATAGTTTTCTAAGGGATCTGTAATGGTGGTCTTTACATTGGCAGCATATCTTTGATGGTTCAAATTCACCAACTGTCTCTGTAGAGGAAAGATGGATAATCTCCTCTTTAACTTAGAGCTCTGTACATTCATTGGAGGGTAAGGTATGAGTATATTCTGACTCAATGACAATGAGTGAGCGAGTGAAGAATGAATTAATGAAGAATGGAATCTTCTGTTATTTTCCTTTCTCCTTTTTTAGAAGGAAGTTCTATTTCTATTGAGCCAATATTTATATATAGCTTCTGAAAATCTGTTTGAGGGTTAGTTATGAGTTGATTTTGACTCAATGTCAATGAGAGAAGTTTGTAAATATTTTCCTTAGCAAAATGAAACAATTCAAAATAAATATTCAGTGTTCTTTGAAGTATTTCTTATACATCATTGATTTATTGGTTTATTTTGTTGTTTTTTGCCTAAAACTTTTTATTGGAACCTTTATTTGTATTTTTTCAATCAGATAATTGAAGAATAATCTTAGTTCATTCACTTATAAGATGTGTAATTCTAGGTATAGTTATTTCAACACTCTGCAATGTTTCTCATCACAACAATACAGAGACTTTGGTGTTAAGTATTTTAAGAAAAAGATTCAACAAGAAACAGGTTTCTGCAAAGAAGCCATTATCAGCATAAGGGGAATTCTTATTCTTTTCAGCACCGTATCAAAATTCCTCTAGCATTTAATATTTTAGTATTAAAATCTGAGTGTAGTGTAAAGATTAAATGGTACAATAATTACTAGATCTATCACATGTCATGCACTTAAAAATGGGCAATAATTATATTTTTGCACTGTGCTGTTATTAGATATCATTGAGTACAAATCATAGTGACCCTATGAACAACATATCTGAACCCTGTTCTATACTGTGCCAGTCTCACTCTCCAGTCACTATGTCAATTCATCTGGTTGAGGGTCTTCCTCTGCTTTTTCAAGCACAATATTCTTCTCCAAAGAATAACCACTCGTAGTAATATGCACAAAGTATGTGAAATGAAGTTTCATCATCTTTGTCTCCAATAAGAAACCCAGAGCACTTTCTCCAAGACATATGTGTTTGTTCTGTTGTCAGTCTCAATCTTTTTTTCATCTATCATGATGTGGATAGTAGATAGGGTTTTTGTTTCCTTGATGTTGAGATGCAATCCATATTGAAGGCTGTAATTCACATCACAATACCTAACAACATAGTTTGATAATAATGACCTAAATAATGTGGGCTTCATGGTTTACACTTTACATGACTGAAAGGCTTTGGAGTTAGATTTGGATGCAAAATCTATGAACAACGTATCTGATCCCTATTCTAGCCTGCACCATCCTAATAACCTCTGATACTCTCAATCCCATTGTTATGGTCACTGTGTCAACTATCCTGGTTGAGACCTTTCATCTCTTTTGTAGCTTCCTCATTTTCCTAAACATGGCATATTGATAGAAGAGGCTATTCCTTGGAGAGGAACATCATGCTTGGAAAGGTGGAGAGACTGAAAAGGTGAGGAAAAGCTTCAAGCAGGTGAATTCACACAGTGATTGCAGCAATGCACTTGAGTGTGTCAGATATGATGATGATGATGATCTAGATAGAACAAGATTCAATCTGTTGTTCATAGGGTCATTATGAGTTGTACTAGACTTGAGGGCACCTAACCACCACCAAAACAATAGGTGGGACAATAGTTAAGGTCTTAATGGCTAATCAGAAGTTTGTTATTTCAGATTTATTTGGAGGGTCTTCATAAGAAAGGAGGACAGCTATCTATTATTTAAGATCAGTCCTTGAAAATCCTATGGAGCATAACTCTGTTCAAACCCGTTAGGTCTATTGTGAGTTAGAATTGGCTCCATGACAACTGATTCAACTCTAGTCTTAGTAATTTTTTTAATTGTATCCCAAATTGCCCAATTTCTTAGAAAGAAATAATCTGAAAATGGTTATGCTATTTAAATAATGCATTTAAAAGCATAGATCTTCAATTTTTACAAGTTGGTCAAGCAAATAAATAGTTCATAATAGTTTTAACAATGTTTGTCAACGAAAGAATAAAACACATTAAAGTATGCATATGATGAGCTTGTTTAGTATTTAGTGTACAGTAAATTACTTCTTAATCTTCCATGTTAGAATTTTTATTTTTATGAACATTTTTACTAAGAATTTCTACTCTATTTTATCCTACTTTCTCAATTATTTCTGATAAAGCATGTTTAAATAAGGATAACTAGGGATATATTGTAATTAACCAAATTAATGAGGCATATATTTACTTCCACTCTATTTTCTTTGAGAATTGTACATGAAACATATATCATTGTTGGGCAAGTTCCCACTAATAACAGTAATAATACTGATATGTCTGAAGACATTTACCTTTATTTTCATCTTTTTTCTCCTTAACCACTGGCTATAGATTACTTGAGTCATCAATGGAAGAATTCAAGCCAGAAAATTACCTGTCTGAAAAAATACAAGATGTTCTCTCTGGAAGAGAGAATTCCATAATAAGGAAATTTATATTAGAAAGTTGTATCAAATAATTAAATGTACACACCAACTCAAGTACAAAAATTCCCTGATAACATCATGAAGATTCTATCCAATAATTTCATTCTGTAAATGTCATCCATGTAACCATAATGAACCACAGCACTGTGACTGAGTTCATAATTGTGGGTCTTTCTAGAAACTCTGAAGTCCAAAAAGTTCTCTTTGTTCTGTTTTTCTGCATCTACCTTGTGGCTTTTCTTGGAAATTTGCTCATTGTGATTGCCATAATTTATAACACCACTTTACATACTCCCATGTATGTTCTCCTTCTGGTGTTGGCTATCGTGGATATCATCTGTACAACAAGCATTGTACCCAAGATGCTGTGGATGATGCTTACGTCTAAGAGGACCATCTCCTATGGGGGATGCATGGCCCAGCTCTTCTTCTTCACATGGTCTCTTGGAGCAGAGATGGTGCTTTTCACAACCATGGCTTATGACCGCTATGTGGCCATCTGTTTTCCTCTTCGTTATAGCACTATTATGAACCCTTATATGTGTGTGGCCTTGCTTAGCATTGTAATGGCTATTGCAGTAACCAATTCCTGGGTACACACTGGTCTCATTCTGAAGCTTACATTCTGTGGACCCAATAACATTGACCACTTCTTCTGTGAGATCCCTCCATTGCTTGCTTTGTCTTGCAGCCCTGTGAGGGTCAATGAGGTGATGGTTTATGTTGCTGACATTACCCTTGCCATAGGTGACTTCACACTCACAGGTATCTCCTATGGCTTTATCATCGCTGCTATTCTACGAATCCGTACCACAGAAGGCAAGAAGAAGGCCTTTTCTACGTGCTCATCCCACCTCATTGTGGTTTCACTATATTATTCCCCTGTAATTTACACCTATATTCGCCCTGCTTCTAGCTACACATTTGACAAGGACAAAGTGGTAGCTGTTCTCTATACTCTTGTGACCCCCACATTAAACCCAATTGTATATAGTTTCAGGAACAAGGAGATGCAAGCAGGGATTAGGAAAGTGTTTGCCTCTCTGAAGCATTAAATGTTTCAAGAGAACATCGATCCTCTGAACTAAAATCATGTCCTGGAACATCAGACCTTCATAATCTGTGGCTTAGTGGTAAGAAATTATGCTACCAACTGAAAGCTACATGGTTCTAATTCAGAAGATGCTCCACAGGAGAAGGATGAGTAATTATCTCCTGTGTGATTTATTGCCTCTGAAAAGTCACTGGAGGGTCAACTATGGGACAATTCTGACAAGAAATAGCAAGAACTGTGGAAGAAGGATGAGAAATCTCTTCCTGTGTGATTTACTACCTTGAAAGCCATATGAAGAATCAGCTTGGGGTACATAACAACAAAAACTCCACTTACTCATTTTTAAAGAATAATATGTTTCAGTCCACAATAAGCTACTTGTTATTTGTTGTCAAGTGTCATCAAGCTTATATCATAGTAATTATCAAGTACAAGTGACTTACTTAGCACTTATTTTCTAAATACGTTCATTCTTACTATTCTAAGTATATGGACTTTTATACATGCATAATTTCAGGGTTTTAAAATTATCTCTTCAATGATTTTTTTTAAAACTCATCTCAGTAAGAGTGACTATGAAAGATTTCTTATTTTTACCATTTTCTCATTGTTCATAAAAATGTAATAATAATATAATGAGGTAATACTTGAAATAAAATGCACCTACATTTACATGTAAACATAGATGCACACATGCATTATGATATATAGAAATATCACATTTAAATATTTACATATATGTATCATAATGTGTGTGTATATATATATATATATATATATATATAGTTGATAGTGGTGGTGGTGGTGATTGTAGTTGAGTTGTGCATAACTCATTGCAAGTCTATGAATAAAAGACCTAATACTTTTCTATATCTACCATCATTTCTCCAAGTTTATAGAGTTTCCATAGGCATGTGGTTTAGGAAGTGATACTGCTCAAGCTTCCAGACCTGTTTTACAACTGGGAGCTCCACCAAACACTGTCCACGTTGGGAAACCATTATGTCATTGGACACCCCAATGGCACAAGGTTCAACATCACAGCAAACTCAGATTACCTCAGTACAGCAAATTGACAAAGAGTGATGTAAAAGTAAAAAAAATGTTCCTCCAAAATATAACAACACTAGTCCCACCTAGCAGTGATTAAATGCCGTCAAGTCAAAACTACACATAGCAACCCTATGACCAAAAGACCTGAACTCTGTTTTATACTTAACAGCTTTTTTTTAAATGTTTATAGAGTTTATAGAGTTTCCAGTGGCATCTAGTTTAGGAAGTGGATGCCACTTCTGCTTCACTTGTGACCCACAGCGACCCTATGTACAGCAGCTCTGAAGCCTGTCCTGTCCTGAGCTAGTCTCACAGCAACCACCATTGCCCTAGTTACTGTAAAAATCTATCTCATATGGGGTCTTTCTTTCCTGTGCTATACCTCCACCCTTCCAAGCATGATATTCTTCTCCAAGGACTAATCCCTCCTGGCCATGTGCCCAAATTATGTGAGACAGAGCTTCAAAATCCTAGCCTCCAAGGAGTTACTTGGACTTACCCTCTCCAAGAAAGATCTATTTTTCTTCTTGGTGGTCCATGGTAAATTAAAAACTCTTCTCCAGCACCAAAATAAGAAGGCATTGATTTTATTTGAAGATAAAACATGTGTGTGTGTGTGTGTGTGTGTGTGTGTGTGTGTGTGTGTGTGTCTTCAGACAAAAAGAAATGTTAAAGTCCATCACATTTCCAAGGCTCTAAATCTTAATAGGAAAGCTGTTTGTCTATTTTTCCCCGCTTGATGTTACTGATAGATTTTAACTACTGGAGAGGTGTAACTTTTTGATTAGCCACACAACATGCTACAATCTATGCCTCTAGAATTCTTTGTCCTCAAATTATTTTCCTACAATTATTCTCATATCTTGTATAAACACATACAGAAACATTTTGCTCACATATATGTAATTCAAACACATCTAGAACAAAAAAAATCACTTTTACTCTTACAAATGAACTTTTATAAGAATAAAATCATGTAACCAATTTATGTAGCTTAAAATATATTTTATCATTATAAGATGTATGTGTGGCACAGGAAATGAAATTTTCCTTTGAAATAAAATTTATAATCAGGTTTTTAAAAATATTTTCTATAATTTCTTTCTTATACTTACATATTGCTGCTTATTTTATAGTTTGTGTAAGTAGATTCTTGCTTATTTATTGTTTGCTCTTATGACTTGAGCTCCTCTGTATAAGTTTGTTATACTAAGGTCATTTGCTTGTTGCAGTGATACTGAAAGATGTGTCATTGGTATTCCAAATACTAGTAGAGTCACTCAGGATGGACAGGTTTCAGTGGAACTTCCATACTAGAGGCAAATTTGAATTTATCAAATCAGTTCTTCAAAAACCTATGAATAATAGAACAAAAGAAGTAGTTTTCTTAATGTTCTTCCCCAGAATTACAAAGAACAACTAAATCACTAGGTATTACATCCATGAATCAAGCAGAATAAAGTCTAGAGGATGAATATTTAAAAAAAGAGAAATACAGTCTGTATATTCCTTTATATTTCGGCAACCTTGCTTGCCAAAACTGAGGAGGGTCTGAAGTATTTGCTACAGAAATTCAAGGACTGCAGTCTTCAGTATGGATTGAGGCTCAACATCAAGAAAACAATGATTCTCACCACCAGACCAACTGGTAGTACCATGATAGATGGAGATGAGATTGAGATTGTTAACAATTTCAGCTTGCTTAATTTCATGATCAACATCCTTGGAAATTAAAAGACAAATCTTACTGGAAAAAACCTGCTTTCAGGGACCTTTCCAGAGTGCTCAAGAGCAATGATTTCAGTCTAGAAACTAAACTGTGACTGATCTATGCCACAATTTTTACAATTTTTTTTTATATGTATCAGAGATCTGGACAATGACTAAGAATGACAAAAGAAGAATCGATGCCTTTGAGTTTGGTGCTGGAGCATGTTGCTAGGAAAGACCAGTCCTTGGAGAAAGACATCATACTTGGAAGGACGGACAGTGCAAGAGAGGAGGATCCTGGAGGAGATAGATTGACGTAGTAACTGAGGTATTGAAGGTAAGCGTGTCGGAACAGTGTGAGACTGGCTCAGATTAGAACAAGGTTCAGAGCTATTGTGCATAAGTTAGCTATGAGTCACAGGCAACTTGACAGAACATAACCATAACATATTTATTTTATAAGGTGTTGTCTACCTTTGAGTCAGAACCAACTCATAGATGATACTCTGGTGGGTTTTCACAGGCTTTTAATCTAACAGGAGGAGGTTGTCCGTCCTTTTCTCGCAGAGCGGCTGATGGATTCAAACTGTGTGCCTTTGGGATTGCAGTGTAGTTTCTTACCACTAGGCCACCAGAGCTCCCCATAAGGTTTATAAGGTTAGTACATGCTAAAAACATGCACCTCTGCTACATTGGCCATATCTAATTTGCTACTCATTCTCAAGATAGAAAAACAAGTTAAAAAATGAGAACTAAGGTTTTCTCAGTTGATTGCTATGCATATGAGAGCTAGATAATGACTAAAGATGACAGAAGAATCGATGTCTTTGAGCTATCGTACTGTAAATGAGTACTGAACATACCATGGACTGCCAATAGAAGAAAAAACACAAATCTGTCCTGAAGAGGGTGAATCCAGGTTACTACTTGTTGGCAAGGACTTTGAAACTCAATCTCACTTATATTTTGGGCATGTTGTCAAGAGAGACCAGTCCTTAGAGAAGGACATCATGATTGGAAGGTGAAAGGTCAGTGCAAGAGAGGAAGACTCTGTTACTGTTTCAATCTATTTCATTCAGGGCCTTCCTTTCTTGCATTCCAAAAAAGGTGATCCAACAGAGAGCAACAATTATCAAACAATATCATTAATATTAATGTGAAAGCAAGATTCTGCTAAAAATTATCCAAAAATGACTGGAACAGCACACATCAACAGAGAGCTGCCATATGTGCAGGCTAAGTTTAGAAGAGGTCATGGTACTAGAGATATTTTAGCTAATGTTACATGGATAGTGGCTGAAAGTAGAGAGTACCAGAGGAAAGTCTATCTGTGTTTCATTGACTATGCAAAGGTATTTGACTGTGTGGATCACAACAAACAATGGCTAAGTCTGAGAAGAATGAGAATCCCAGAACACTTGATTGTGCTTATGGGAAACCTATACTTGGATGAGGAGACAGTTATAAGAACAGAGCAAGGAACAATGCATGGTTAAAATTCAGGAAGGGTGTATACCTGGGATGTGTCATATCTCTATACTTTTTCAACATATATGCGGAACAGATTATCCAGGAGGCTGGGCTATAAGAGAAGGGATGGAGGGAGCACCAGGATTGGAGAAAACTCGTCAACAACCTGCTTTATGCAGATGGCACAACCCTGCTTGCTGAAACTGAGGAGACACTGAAGCACTTGATGCAGAAGGTCAAGGACTGCAGCCTGCAGTATGGTTTGAAGCTCAGCATCAAGAAAACAAAGATTCTCACCTCTGGGCCAATTATCAGCATCATGATACATGGTGAAGAGATTGAGGTTGTCAACAATTTTAGTTTGCTTTGCTCAGCCATCAACACTCTTGGAACCAGCAGCCAGAAAATCAAAAGACAAATTGCATTGTGAAAGTCTGCTGTCAGGGACTTCTCCAGAGTACAGAAGAGCAATGATGTCAGTCTGAAGACTCAGGTTTGCCTGATCCAGGACATAGCATTCACAATTACTTGGTATGCATCAGAGATCTGGACAATTGATGAAAAACAGAAAGAGAATTGTTGCCTTTGAGTTGTGGTTCTGGAGAAGAATATTGAATATACTGTGGACTGCTAGGAGAACAAGCAGGTTTGTCCTAGAGAGGGTGAATCCAGGTTGCTCCTTGTAGGCAAGGAATCCAAAGCTCTTTCTGACATACTATGAGCATGATGCAAGGAAAGACCAGTCCTTGGAGAGGGACATGATGCTTG